TACTAAAAGATGGCTGGTTGCAGAAGAATCAGGCTAGAACTCAAATTTTCCCGTGCCGAAAGAGTGACATGACAGCAGTATTCCGGTATTTGAGGGGCTGCCACAAAGAAGAGGAGGGAGTCAATTTATTCTCCAAAGCAAGGCTTTTCAACCCGTGGTACGGGTACCACCTGTGGTACATTGGCACCTGGCAGGTGGTACGCGACCATCCTAGAAAAGTGGTAGCGGGGGAGGGGAATGAGCTGAACCGGTGGCAGCACCGCACAAGCCTGAGCGAGAGACGGCTGGAGCTGCAGGGCTGTCAGGGCTCAGCGGAAGCGCCAGGATCAGTGCCGCTTTCCAGCTGATCGGCGCTTCGGGGATGTCAGGGTTCAGTGGAAGCGCCAGGATCAGTGCCAGTCTCCAGCTGGAGCTCAGCACTGATCCTGGTGCTTCTGCTGAGCCCAGAAGAAGCGCCGATCAACTGGAATGTTGCAGCCTGTCCAGGGTCTTGTGATTTACATTCAGATGCTTGGCAACTGATTCATATTTATGACGGTCACAGTGTCCCAGGGTCATGTGAAGTGACCAAAACCTGCTGCAACCACCCAGCAGACGGGGGGAATAAAAACCAAACACCCCCCCACCCCACACCCCACCAATCCTCAACAGAAATGCTCACAACAATGAAAACCTCGGACAGGAGGAAGAGCGCCACCGGGTGGGCAGGCAGGTGTCTTACCCGGCTTTGGCTTGGGGGGCACTTTTTTCAGTGCCATCGTAACTTCGAACAGTCACTAAGCGAACTGTTGTAAGTCGAGGACTACCTGTACTTCATCACTTTTTCCCTTTTTTTTTGGTCATCAAGTTTTTGACACTTGGCTAGGCGACTGGTGGCACTCGGATATTGCCATATCCTAAAAGTGGTACAATGGGTGAAAAGGTTGAAAAGCCCTGCTCCAAAACACCAGACGGCAAGACAAGAAAAAACAGATGGAAATGAATCAAGGAGAGAAGCAACCTGGAATTAAGGAGAAACTTCCTAACAGTGAGGACAATCAACCAGTGGTTAATTGTTCTCACTGTCAGGAAGTTTCTCCTTAGTTCTAGGTTGCTTCTATCTTTGATGAGTTTCCATCCGTTGCTTCTTGTCCTGCCTTCTGGTGCTTTGGAGAATAGCTTGACTCCCTCTTCTTTGGGGCAGCCTCTGAGATATTGGAAGACTTGCTATAATATCCCCCCTCATCCTTCTCTTCATTGAACTAGACCAGTGATGGCGAACCTTTTAGAGTCCGAGTGCCCAAACTGCAACGCAAAACCCACTTATGCATTGTCGGGTGCCGGGTGGGTGTGCCCATTGGCTGGGTGTGGCCCATTGGGTGTGACCCATTGGCTGGGCGTGGCTGCAGTGGTAACGGCAGACTGGGTGGGACTAAAAAGTTCAATCAATCAATTCCAACTTTGCAAGATCTTTTTTTTCCCGAGAAGTTGAAATTGACTGATTGATTGAACCTTTTTTTTTTTTGCACACGGCGGCGGAGGCCTAAAGCGAAAAGAGTTTATAAAACCCAGCTGAAGGCCTAGGACCAGGGCGACGGCGTGCATGCCCACAGAGAGGGCTCTGAGTGCCGCCTCTGGCACCCGTACCATAGATTCACCCCCACTGAACTAGACATACCCAATTCCAGCAACCGTTCCTTATATGTTTTAGCCTCCTGTCCCCTGATCTTCTCTGCACTCTTTCTGGAGTCTCAATATCTTTTTTACATCGCGGTGACCAAAACTGGATGCAGGATTCCAAGTGTGGCCTTACCAAGGTGTTGTAAAGTGGTATTAACTCTTCCCGTGATCTTGATTCTATCCCTCTGTTAATGCAGCCCAGCACCGTGTTGGCTTTTTTGGCAGCTGCAGCACACGGCTGGCTCCTATTTAAGGGATTGTCCACTAGGATTAACAATAAGTATTATATACTAACACTGAAGCAGTAGGAATGAGCTTAAATGGACTCCAGAAGATGGTAGAGGACAGGAAGGCCTGGAGTAACGTTGTCCATGGGGCCGCGATGGATCAGACACGACTTCGCAACTAACCACAAATTATATACTAAGCATTAACACTAAGAAATAAACAGGATGAGTTTATTCCTTTTCTCTTTACCCAGAGAATTGAATATGCTATTAAACTATGGTTTTCTTAATCATGATGGATAGAAATGGACTATAGAAGCAACTATAAAAAAACCTATTCTGATTCCCAGTGTACGGAAACCTAAATTATCTCAGTACTCCTAACACTGCTGGCCCAAGCAATTAGATCAAACAGCAAGAAACGGTTATGAATTCCACATTTTGAGAGCCAGTTTGGTACAGTGGTTAAGACACGAGCTTAGAAACCGGGAGACGGTGAGTTCTAATTCGGCCTTAAACATGAAAGCCGGCTGGGTGACTTTGGGCCACTCACCAGGAGACGGTGAGTTCTAGTCCTGCCTTAGCCATGAAAGACAACTGGGCGACTTTGGGCGAATCACTAGGAGACAATTGTTTTAGTCTCGCCTTAGGCATGACAGCTGGCTGGGTGAGTTTGGGCCAATCACCAGGAGACGGTGAGTTCTAGTCCTGCCTTAGCCATGAAAGCCAACTGGATGACTTTGGGCCAATCACCAGGAGACGGTGAATTCTAGTCCTGCCTTAGGCATGAAAGCCGGCTGGGTGACTTTGGGCCAATCACCAGGAGACGGTGAGTTCTAGTCCTGCCTTAGCCATGAAAGCCAGCTGGGTGACTTTGAACCAGTCCCTCTCTCTGAGCCCAACCTACCTCACAGGGTTGTCGTCGTGGGGAAAAAAAGGAGTAGGAAGGAGTATTCCGTGGGTTTATCTCCTTGAGTTCTTTATAAAAACAATGAAGACGAGATTAAAAACGGCTAAACAATAAATGAAATCAATAAAACATAGGACCGTCCTTTTGCAACTTGGGTTGATTTGCCTGGTCCCACTTGAGTTGTTTGGGGGGGGGGAAGTGGGGTATAAATAAATAAATAAATTTTAAAGCAGTACTACTTTTCCTTGGATTCCCGGTAGGGATCAGGTGAGCCGTCTTCCCGTTCTCGTTCCAGAGGTTATTAAAGGTGGAGCCGTTTCAGAAAGCCTCCTTGATTTATCCTGCCGTCTTTTAATTTCTACTTTTATTGTTGACATGCTTACTATCTGGTGGTGCTGCGTTTATCACTTTTATGGACGATTGCTGCCATGGAGGCTTTAATTGTATTTTTTTTTTTTTTTTTTGCTGTTCGACATAACACAACGAGAGTGTTTGATTGCGGTGGGATAGAAACGTGAGACATAAATAAACAAAACGTGATTGCAAATCTAAACGCGGGGATAACGTGTTTTGATTTATTACCTTTGAACTTTCCGCAGCCACATGATTTTGTGGACTTTGTTTCTTGAATTAGACAAGAGAACGTGTTTGAGGGTAATCGATCATATCAGACAACTAATTCCGTGGTCCTATCTTCGGTCCTCTGTCACTTAACATCATGGCGGAATCGGTACCTTCGGTAACCCACTAAAACCTGGTTACAGCGGGAGAGGTTGAGTTCTAGTCCCGCCTTAGACATGAAAACCAATTGGGTGACTTTGGGCCAATCACCAGGAGAAGGTGAGTTCTAGTCCCATCTTAGACATGAAAGCCATTGGGTGATTTTGGACCAATCAATAGGAGAGATTGAGTTCTAGTCCCACCTTAGACATGAAAGCCATTGGGTGACTTTGGGCCAATCACCAGGAGAGGGTGAGTTCTAGTCCCATCTTAGACATGAAAGCCAGTTGGGTGACTTGGGGCCAATCACCAGGAGAGGTTGAGTTCTAGTCCCGCCTTAGACATGAAAACCAATTGGGTAACTTTGGGCCAATCACCAGGAGAGGGTGAGTTCTAGTCCCATCTTAGACATGAAAGCCATTGGGTGATTTTGGACCAATCAATAGGAGAGGTTGAGTTCTAGTCCCACCTTAGATATGAAAGCCATTGGGTGACTTTGGACCAATCAGCGGGAGAGATTGAGTTCTAGTCCCACCTTAGACATGAAAGCTGGCTGGGTGACTTTGGGCCAATCACCAGGAGAGGGTGAGTTCTAGTCCCATCTTAGACATGAAAGCCATTGGGTGATTTTGGACCAATGAATAGGAGAGATTGAGTTCTAGTCCCACCTTAGACATGAAAGCCATTGGGTGACTTTGGACCAATCACCAGGAGGGGGTGAGTTCTAGTCCCACCTTAGACATGAAAGCCAGTTGGGTGACTTTGGGCCAATCACCAGGAGAGATTGAGTTCTAGTCCCACCTTAGACATGAAAGCCATTGGGTGACTTTGGACCAATCACCAGGAGGGGGTGAGTTCTAGTCCCACCTTAGACATGAAAGCCAGTTGGGCGACTTTGGGCCAATCACCAGGAGAGGGTGAGTTCTAGTCCCACCTTAGACATGAAAGCCAGTTGGGTAACTTTGGACCAATCACCAGGAGAGGGTGAGTTCTAGTCCCACCTTAGACATAAAAGCCAGTTGGGTGACTTTGGGCCAATCACCAGGAGAGATTGAGTTCTAGTCCCACCTTAGACATGAAAGCCATTGGGTGACTTTGGACCAATCACCAGGAGGGGGTGAGTTCTAGTCCCACCTTAGACATGAAAGCCAGTTGGGTGACTTTGGGCCAATCACCAGGAGACTGTGAGTTTTAGTCCACCTTAGGCATGAAAACTCAACTAGATGGTGAGTTCTAGTCCTGCCTTAGGCGGATGTCTTTGGGCCAATCACCAGGAGACATAGTGAATTATAGTCCCGCCTTAGGCGTGAAAGCTGTCAGGGTGACTTTGGGGCGGTAACTGAGCCCAGTCCACCTCACCGGATTGTTGTTCTGGGAAAAATGCGTAGGAAGGAGTATTCCCTGTCTTTGCTGCCTTGCGTTATTTATAAAAGGAATAAAAGCGAGATATGAACAGACTGTTTTATTTATTTTTTCCTCCCCAGGCGAACAAACTGAGGACCAAAACTTTGCGGAATACATTAAACCCCACTTGGAATGAAACCCTCACATACTACGGGATCACAGACGAAGATATGATCCGCAAAACGCTCAGGTGAGTCTGTGACAGCCTCAGGGCAGGTAGACCAGACGGGAAACACCATCAGGTGAGCTAATTCCGCTTTATTATAAGGCTAGTGTCAATGCTGCTAACATCGGATGTTTTGCACTGACAACAGATGGAAATGTAGCCCTCTTTTTCCCTTTTGCTTTTTAAAGTTAGATGATACTGGGAGGAGGGGGGATGTGAATAGAGTCTAGCTAGACATAACAACACTAAACTCAGCGTGAGAATCAAGGTTATTGAGCCCAGAGCTGATAAAGAATTGGCCTCCGGGCTTCAAGCTAATTGGGGAATGTGATTTATGACTATTACTTAGAGGAGGGAATTGTGCTTTGATACTATGTGCCCAGGGGAGGGGAATTCAGTTTTTGGCTTCGATTATGTAGTGCCGATATTATGCTACTCGAATAAAAAATTCTTTAAGGTAAACAATGCCTTGAAGTTCTTTTGAAGAGTTTCATCTGTCGGAACCATGACAGTTAGGGGAACAGAATCTCTCAAGTCTCTTTTGCAGCCTGAGAAATTAGGGAGAAATGTTTTTCTCGCCATGCACATGTATACATCACCGGAACTAGACTTGTGTTGTTTCTCTGTGTCATATAATATATGTCAGTATGCAAAATTCTGTATTTATTTATTTATTTTTGTCGTAGTTATGTAGTGTATATCAGAGGTGGTGACCCTCTGAGAGCTGTATGCAACGAAATTTCATTTTAATGTCCACCGATTAGTGCAGGGCTTTTCAACCAGTGGTACGGGTACCACCTGTGGTACATTGGCAACTGGCACCTGGTACGTGACCATCCTAGAAAAGTGGTAGCGGGGGAGGGGAATGAGCTGAACCGGTGGTAGCACCGCACAAGCCTGAGCGAGAGACGGCTGGAGCTGCAGGGCTGTCAGGGCTCAGCGGAAGCGCCAGGATCAGTGCCACTTTCCAACTGATCAGCGCTTCTTTGGGGCTGTCAGGGCTCAGTGGAAGCGCCAGGATCAGCGCCAGGCTCCAGCTGGAGCTCGGCTCTGATCCTGGTGCTTCTGCTGAGCCCTGAAGAAGCACCAATCAGCTGGAAAGCAGCACTGATCCTGGCGCTTCTGCTGAGCCCAGTAGAAGCGCTGATCAGCTGGAATGTTGCAGCATCTCCAGGGTCTTGTGATTTACATTCAGATGAAAACCTAGGACAGGAGGAAGAGCGCCGCCGGGCGGGCAGGCAGGTGTCTTGCTCAGCTGTGGCTTGGGGGGCACTTTTTTCAGTGTCATTGTAACTTCGAACAGTCACTAAGCGAACTGTTGTAAGTCGAGGACTACCTGTACTTTATCACTTTTTTCCCTTTTTTTTTGGTCAAGTTTTTGACACCTTGCTAGGCGACTGGTAGTGCTCGGATGTTGCCATATCCTAAAAGTGGTACAATGGATGAAAAGGTTGAAAAGCCCTGGATTAGTGTACATTCAAAGTGACAATAAAGTTGTTCATTATTCATTATTCATTATTCTATTTGTTTTCTGAGTCTCTTCGTCTGTCCGTTATGCAGCTGAGGGCTGGTCTATCTCTTATCTGATTATTCCCTAGGCAGCATTACTTCCTCCTGTATGCCAAGGTCATTCCCACATACCATTGCAAATAGCCTTTGACTTACGACCACAATTGAGCCTGAAATTTCTGTTGCTAAGTGAGACAGTTGTCAGCTGAGTTTTGCCCCATTTTATGACTTTGCTTGCCACCGTTGTTACATAAATCACTGCAGTTGTTAAGTGAATCTGGCTTCCCCAATGACACTGTTTGTTAGAAATTCGCAAAAGGTGACCCAGGGACGCCGCCACGGTCATAAATATGAGTCAGTTGCCAAGGAACACTGCCACGGTCATAAATATGAGTCAGTTGCCAAGTGTCTGAGGTTTGATCATGTGACCAGAGGGATGCTGCAACAGTTATACAGTAAGCGTGAAAAACGGTTGTAAGTCACTTTTTTCAGTGCCGTTCTAACTTTGGATGGTCACTAAATGAACTGTTGTAAATTGAGGACTATTTGTACTGTCAGAGCCCCGTTTGGCTTGCACAACTGTTGGCCGAGCCTGGCTTGCGAAGTGTTTAAATCTCCCTTTGATGGTGTAGAAAGAAAAAAAAAATTCATCAGGGTCCAGTCCAAGCCGGGAATAAACAAAATGGAGACTGCTTTAGAAAGAAGGTTGCAGTTTATTGAAGAGGAGAGCCAGACAGAAAGATGGCTTTGGGGAAACTGACCACATGTAGCAGGGAATGGTGGGTTTTTATACCTTCTGGGACTTTTGAGGTTGTTTCCTGTTCCTGTTTGAGGCTTTGTATTTCCTGTGTCATGTATTTCCTGTGTCATGTAAAAAAGATGTTGAGACTCTAGAAACAGTACAGAGAAGAGCAACAAAGATGATTAGGGGACTGGAGGCTAAAGCATATAAGGAACGGCTGCTGGAATTGGGTATGTCTAGTTTAACGAAGAGAAGGACGAGGGGGGACATGATAGCAGCCTTCCAATATCTCAGGGGCTGCCCCAAAGAAGAGGGAGTCAAGCTATTCTCCAAAGCGCCTGAAGGCAGGACAAGAAGCAATGGATGGAAACTCATCAAGGAGAGAAGCAACCTAGAACTAAGGAGAAACTTCCTGACAGTCAGAACAATTAACCAGTGGAACAACCTGCCTCCAGAAGTGGTGAATGCTCCAACACTGGAAGTTTTTAAGAAGAGACTGGACAGCCATTTGTCTGAAATGGTATAGGGTTTCCTACCTGAGCAGGGGGTTGGACTAGATGACCTCCAAGGTCCCTTCCAACATCATCATCATCATCATCATCATCATCATCATCATCATCATCATCATCATTATTATTATTATTATTATTATTATTATTATGACCTGAGTATTGGTGGGTTAATCCTATTATGTTCCCAAAGGTCATGTCTTTTACAGTTTGGGTAGGGTATGTAGATTTTAGGTGTCTTTGTCTTCCTAATCTTCTAGCTTTCTGACTCCAATCTTCCTGAATGGATTATTACATCTGCATTTCTAAAAGCTGGCCTGATTTCTGCTTGGGGCATAGAGACTAGGGGTGGTGGTGGTTTCTGCCTAAGATTTTCTATTATTCCTTTGGGGAAATATATTCTGCCTTTTAAATATTCCCCAAAATATTTCTTTCTCTGGGGGGCTGACTTCCCACAATGGACTATTTCTGACCAGTGGCTAGCCATTTTCCCAAAGCGTAAAATATATTTTTCCCGACAATCTCTGAGCTTAAAGCCGATTTATCTTCCCTTTCCCCAGCCAATTACTTAACATATTTTTCCCCTCTTTCTCGTCTCGGTAAATTCTCAGCTTTAGCAAAAAAACCCAAAAACACCCCCCTAACTTGTCTTACCTGGAAACACGCTGGGGCGATTCTCGGTGCCCAGTTGTTGAAAATGCAAATGAGTAATTCAGTTTTGATTAGCTTGTAACTCTGGAACATCCTAATCTAGCAATTGGAAGGAGGACGGCTGGATGCCGTCAAAGCCGCGGTGACTTGATTTTAATTTCCACGGGATTTTCATTTTTAAACTGTCTCTCTGCTTTGTGTTTTTATTAGGCTGTTTAAGGATGGAAATGTTTTCAGCAGAGAAGGAAGTAATAAAATACAACTCAGGGGTTTAAAACGAAGTCATAAAAATGCCAGTCAGGGATTTGGAAATGTCAAGGAAATTATCACTTGCTAATATAGTATTACTTAGCTGTAAATAATTGAGGCTGCCTCAGAGTCCCCTCGAAGCAAGAAACGAGGAGCATATCACTGTAAATGTAATAATAAATTAAAAAAGTAAAACACTTGAGTATATTATACAGGTAGTCCTCGGCTTACGACCACAACGGAGCCCACACTATCTGTTGCTAACTGAGACAGCTGTTAAGTGATTTTTTGCCTCGTTTTAAGACCTTTCTTTGCCACAGTTGTTAAGTGAATCACTGCCGTTAGCAACATGGTTGTTAAGTGAATCTGGCATCGACATTGCTTGTCAGAAGGTCGCAAAAGGGGATCACATGATCCCAGGACACTGCAACCGTCATAAATATGAGTCAGTGGCCAAACATCTGAACTTGGGTCACGTGACCAAGGGGGACGCTGCAACGGCTGTAAGTGCGGAGAAGGTCATAAGTCCCTTTTTTTCCAGTGCTGTTGTAACTTTGGACGGTCACTAAACGAAACTGTTGTAAGCCAAGGCCTACTTGGGCTTAGTGGTAAATCACTGAGGCCTCTCAGAGTCGCCTCACACCTCAAGATTTGCAGAAGCTGTAAATTTAATGATAAATAATAATAATAAGCTGCTGCAAGAAGATCGCACAGACTGACTACAAGCAGCGGCATGACAAAGTAGCAACAATGGTGCATTGGAAGATCCGCAAGAAATATCATTTGCCTGTAAGCCAGAACGGGTGGGATCATAAAATAGAGAAAGCCATAGAAAATGATAAAATTAAACTGCTCTGGGACTTCAGAATTCAAACAGACAAGCACCTGCCACATAACACCCCGGACTTAACAATTGTTGATAAGAAAGACAAAAAAGTCTGGATAGTAGACGTGGCAGTGCCTGGAGACGGCAGAATAGACGAGAAAGAACTGGAGAAGATAACAAAATACAAAGACCTACAAATAGAAAGAGAAGGACTGTGGCAAAAGCAAGCAAGGGTAGTACCAATAGTAATAGGCGCCTTGGGTGCAATCCCAAAACAACTGGAGCACCACTTGAACACCATCATCGGCATTGACAAATTCGCTATTAGTCAATTGCAAAAGGCGGCCTTACTAGGAACTGCTTCCATCCTGCGACGAGATCTGTAATACCATCAAACATCCACATCTGCCTATCCCAGGTCCTTGGGAAGGACTCGATAGGTAGACAAAAATGCCAAATCCAGTCTGAACATCTGGCTGACTGTGCGATGATCAATAGTAATAATAATAATAATGATAATAAAGTTGGAAGGGACCTTGGAG